GCATCCTGCTGAACTATCAAGACAGCTCATTGGAAAGTCAAGACTGCTTGTGGTATCTTCTGTCTGGAACTTGGTCTTTCAGAGTCCAAAGGACAACAACAGGGAAATGCTCTCAAGCCAATGTCTATTGAACCCATCAAAGTGAGTCAACATGAAAGCTGCAAGCACTTTGAGTGAGAGTATTGGGGGGGTTGGGAGCAAATGACCCACTACTAGGAACAAGTGCCTTACTAGTAGTAACAAGAAGCTATTAGAATTAAAATAAAGTTGAATTGACTAATAGCTTCTTGTTACTACTAGTAAGGCACTTGTTACTAGAAGCGATGCACTTGTTCTTACTAGCTTCTTGTTTCTGGGGTTGGGAGCAAATGACCCATAATTTACCCCATGTCTGTTTCAGTTCTGCACCCGTGCCCTTGCGAACATCTCCGCAAGCGGACCGCATGGAACGAGGACCGCACGGACAAAAAATAGAACGAATTCCGACCAGCTCCGCCTTCCGAGTTGCGAAGCCTTGCGAAGCCTGTGGGCCACCCTGTGCCACCAGGACACGGTGGCATCCCGTAGGCAGTCTGCCTTCAACTTCAAGGACGCATGGACAGGACCCTTCTTCACCTTGGCTGGCTCATCTAGACGACATGTGTTTTTCCCTCTTTTTAGGGCCCTAGCTGGCCCTACCTATCTGGCTGAATTGTCTGGTCTTGTGGAATGCTGGAACAAAAGACATCAAGCCTTCCAAACGGCTGGAACTTTTGGCTCATATGTTATTTAGATATGTTCTATCTACATCTGGCACTTCTCAGCTCGGACCTAAGGTTTCTTGAGTGCCCAAGTGACCATAGTGGCATAAAGGCCTTTACGCTCACGCTGGCGCACGCCTTTTGCCGCCTGCATAGTAGATAAAGTCCCGAAGAAATGGATGGATTGATATATCATTGATATCGATCGCTTCGTTGCTTTGATGGTCTTGAAATTCTGCTCAAACGATGGGATCACTTGAAAAAGAGACACGCTCACTCGACGTTCAGGAACAATCAGAGCATGTAAGCTCTTGGAAACATGATGTTCTTCGACAAGCCAACGTGTTCCCAGTTTCCAGTCTTCCACACTTGTCGCACAAACCATGGACTCGCATGGACCGTTGAACGCATCTCTGCCGACAAAACCTGATCAAGGTCACACAGGGTACCTCGCGGGCATCTGGGAAGACCATGAGCCGCAGATTGGGCCTCATCTGTGGCAAGTTCCCACTCTGTTCCATCGTTCGGATCAATGGATCTGTGTCAAGGCCCTGGTTTTTGTGGGCTAAGGCATTTTCTGGAGAAGACAACCAAGTATCAAACCCACACTGAAGTAACTACCAAGTTGTGGAAATTCTAGAAGATCCCAAGGTCACTTGTTCGCACACTTGCTAGAATGGATTTTGCAGGGATGACACAGGGTACCGGATATTCACAGGTTTTACGATGTTTAACGGCCTCTCTAAACCTTGACGCATCTAAAATCTATATAAATTGCTGGAGCATGTCCATAGACATAGGCCAAGTACTAAACCGCGACAACAAAGAACTGCAGTGAAAGGGGGCAAGAAGGTTGACATCAATGCTGCTAGCTGCTAGTACACAGTCCTGAACTACTCACAGCCTTTCTTCACCACGCTGCCGCCGGAGGCTATAGGACTACGAGTTGAAGCAAAGAGAATTTGAGAATGATGATGTAGCCCGCGAAGCCAGAACTTCCGATAGCAGTACTCACTCGCAATCAATTGGGCCACCTTGGTTAAAATCCTTACAAACCCCTCACTCTGCTCCTCTCATTCGAGCTATCCATCTATGCTCTACCCATCCTCTCAGCTCCCCACAGGCCACGTGCCGAGAAGGGCGGCGAGACCAAGGGCCGCCCCATTGAGGCCTGCGAAGAACAGTCACAGCAAATGTGTCCAAGCAATGTGTGTGTCTGACCACAAAACTCAGCAAATCAGGACCTTTTTTTCAAACAAGTGAGGGAGACACCTGCAACTTCTCTCTGATGTCTTCGATGCGCCACTCAGCCCGCGTACAAGCCATGCCCCACACCTCAGCAAGTATATAGCATGTGCGACATTCGCGGGATTCGCATCACATTTTCGCCACCAGCGAACGGTGCTGGATGCAGGTTGCAAGGTTTTTTCAAGTCGTAGCAAAAGAACCCACCGGCAAGCAGCACATCACAAGCACCAAAAGAACTGTCTCGAGATACTCAGACAAACTGTTTACACCAGCATGTGCTCCCAAAACAAGTGCCCAAACCACCCGTCCGTGCTCCGGCGTCCACCCGTCTCGGCTGTCCGGACGTCTACCTGTCCAACAGTGATACCAGGAGACACCTGGCAGTCATCAGCTGCTGGGAGTGGTTTCCCAAAAGGCTTCCCTTTGCCTGCTGTCCATGCTGCAGTGGCATGTAGGTCGATGCAGCCAGAATACTCCGCCAACATGCCCGGTTGCAGGTGACACGATACGGCCATAAATCGACATCGTTTTGAATTCATTTGGGACTCCAGTTCTCAGTTCTCAGTGGGCCAGCAAAACCAAGATCAGATGCGCGCATCCTTTGTTTTTCAGCCCCATGTCTGCAGCTCCCACGCCTCCACCGGTGGGCCTGTGGGAGTGGAGACGTCGGGTCGCCAGAGCCGCGCCAGCGCGGAGACCTCCAGAGACTGCCAGCGCAGCGCCGCGCTGACGAGTTGGTAGAAAGGCGAGTTGAAAGTGCTGGTAGGTGCTGTGATCATGCGAATGGCCTTCCATGGATATTCATGGTATTTGTATATAGTTATATATATATATGTATTTATCATGCTCATGGACTCATGGTAGTTGAAACAGGTTGCAACCAATGATCAGACAAGTTAAATGAGAGTGGCAATCACCGTGGTGAAACATGAGTCCTCTGCCAACCCTCAAACAGTCAGTTTCTTGTAGTTTGATTGGTCCGCAAGCAAGCCGAGTCTACAGCACGATCTGTTAAAAATGTTAAGTCCGGCAAGGGCTATATAAACAGATTTTCCAGTCCAGTGATGCCTTGCTGCATCGTCAGGCCAAACGACCCACCCACACAACCGGCCGCCTGCATCGTCGCCTTTGCCTGACAGACGCGTTTACCCAAACACAAAGAGATTGGCAGCACGAGGAGAGATGGTGATTGGATTTGGGGTCACTCATTCATGGGCTGCATGTACTTTTTTGACCATTCCTTGCACTGGATGTGCTTGGAAGCCTTCAGACTCAAACTGTCCCCCAACCAGACCTAGGAGGCAAAGGACTTCCCTCTTGTATCGGTAGATCAGCAGATCCACGATCATTGGTTTATGTGGACTGCATTTTTGGCTGTCTATCTAGTGACGAGGGAATTTCTGGATCTGTTCGTGCAGGCTTTTCTTTCCTGCAAGTTTGACAACAATTGGCTGGTCTGAAACTGATCAGCTGAACCTGCGGTTCACCTGAAGTGTGGATGTTGTGTGCTGGTTGCTAAGAAGATTATCCACTTGGATAGCTGCTCCACACGAATTTGGTGGCATTTCTCTACAAACACTAATCAGGTCTTCTTGTCTACAAACGCCATGTCATGTCCAGGCCTGTTTCTTCGCACTGCCAGCTTCTACTTGGGCCTGGCAGCTCACTTCAAGCATTGGATTTGGCCATCCTCAAAAAGTAAGCTTGCTGCTCTCTGCTTTCTTGGAATTCAAACTGTCTTCCTCCAAATTTCAGCGAAAGATGTGAGCAACACGTTTCCTCTGACACAACGCCATTGCTTCAATATCCATTATTGCTACGTCTCTCCGAGTAGGGAAGCTTTCCTACTCGGAAGTGGTCGCATCATATGATCCACTGGTGGGACTGGGCTGCCGAACGGGACGCGAGTAGGGCACCTGGCACGGGAACCGAAACAAGGTGTACCGCTGCCGCGGAAAGGGCCGCTAGGGGAAAATAACCGTTCCTGAGGCATTCTCAATGCCTAAAGCTGTGTTTTTCAATGTTTTTGCATGTCTTTTCAGGCTAAATCCACTTTCTCCAACGATTTGCTCGTGTCAAAGCCAACCTCTCTTTCCTCTCCAACCCTCGGGAGCAGAAAGAAGAGTTCATCTAAGACGGGCAAAACCGAGACGTCTATCCCGGACGTCACCAGGACGTCATCCGCCTGCTGGGAGATCGCACTGGGAAGTGGATGCGCCTCCGCTTAAAGCAGCACCGGCACATGTCGCGTAAAGTAAACAGACCCAAAGCAAATCAGCAGCTCTATGAATTCTTTGGAGACCATCTTGCTCAACCAATCAAAGGCAAAATATCCGAGAAAGAAAAGAATTTCCAAAACATGCTCAAAAAATTGGCGCCATGTTCCTCGCCTGCGCCATGCCAAATTGTGCTTGCAGCGTCGGATGCTGCACCTGACGGGACTGGACGGAAGCCTGGGATGACCTTGTGAAGGAGGCCTGGGTGTCGTTGTCCGACAAAGAAACGATCGGGCAATGTACATCATTGCTGAATCTTTGTTGTTTTATCGAAAGGCATCTCCTGCAAACTTAGATTGAAAATGATAGAAGAACATCAAGCATCAAGCCTGCAACAAATGCTCATTTCGCACGACTCAGAGGCAAGGCTCTAACAAGTCAGCCAAGTCACTGTACACTGGCTTCTGAGCAGGCCAAAGAGCATCACATGACATCAAGGTTCGGAGTGCAACACTTTCATTGGACTTATTGCAAGTAAGGCAAGGGACCGCATCCCCTGGGATGCTTCTTCTGCATGTCTGCTTGCCTGAGGGCAAACGGAGTTATGGCAAGGCCCACATCCTTTGGAGATGGAAACTTCCACATTCTGCGCAAGCGTTTCTTCAAGAAGGGCACGGAGTACAAGCCATACCTCTCCGTTCGCTGTACCGTGCGGTCGAAATAGACGCCCTCCGGAAAGGCCGGCGCTTGGAAGCAAAACCAACCATCGCCGGTCGGTCGGTACTTAGGGCCCAGAAAAGCCTCAGCGTTCACCTCCACCTCGCTCAGCCGTAACCCAAGTGATTCGACCACAGGCACGGAGACTTCGAAAAGGTGTACTTGCTTACCAGAGCCCATGTAGCCAGATGCAATGCAGGAGGTCGTTTGCCAATCATCGTGAAGAGAGACCGATGGATCGTGACCAATGAGACGTTTCAGATGGGCGATATAGAGACGAGCTACGACCACCTTTACAACACCATGTCGCTCAATCACTTCTGCAAGCTTTGCTGCATCCACATCCAGCTGGCCTCTGGGAAAGATTTCCCCTGCCTCCAGGATCCGCTGAAGGCCCTCTGAATCCAATGACAAAGCTCGGTAGGTCGTGACTCGTCCCAAAAAACGCGCAAATCCACTGAAGGCCTCCAGCATCGTCCTGGAGCGACCACCGTCTTGGATCCATTTCACAAATGGACGCCAGCGAGTTCCAATTCCGGGCCACCTCAGAATCCCAAGTAAATGTGAGATCCCCACATCATCAAAGGCTTTGACCATTTCTTTGGCTTCTTGAGCATTGTAGTCATGGGCCAAGGCTTCTTCTGTCGCCTCAAGGCAGCGTCGAGACATCATCCATTGAATCTCCTCTTCAGAGACGTCCTCCAGATCTTGGCAATAGCTGGAAATGTCACACAAGTAATTTGCCGGAGGATCTTCTTCCATGGTCTTTTGAGCCACTGGAAACTGCACTCGTCAGCTTGAGCCAAGGAGCGGCGGGAGAGGTCACAAGGAGCTGAGAAGTTAAGTCACAAGTCATAAGACACATTTCTTAGGAACAAGGGCGGCATCGCTACTAGTAATAAAGAGCATTACTAGTAGGAGCTATTTGAGCTCCTAGGAACAAGGACGCTACTAGTAGCTCCTGGCATTACTACTAGTAACAAAGGGCATCGCCACTAGGAGCAAACTCTCCCGGTCTCTCCAGGCCTGGTTTGGAGCCATCGGATGACGCAGGCGCTGGGGACGCATCTGGGTCCGGTGGGTCCGGGGAAGCCATGAGAAATGGAACCGTTTTTGAAGAAAACATCTGCAGCTCCTCCTTGGGACTCAAAGGGCCTCAAAAGGCATGGATTGTTTTCGGATGTTTTTTTTGCGACAAGACACATCCAGGCGATCTCGCTTGGTCTTCACCTGCAGCTGGGCTCAACAAATCATCTAAAAGCTCCGGCCAAAGCCAGACCTCACGGTTTGGAGGAAGAATCCCGCACCACGACCAAGAGGGATCGATAAGTACTATCATCGTCAAGGATGTCCAATGTTTCCTCTCAACCATCGAGCAAATCTACTTCTTGCAGTCAATTTCAGGCTCTCTGCGTGGGCTGCGTGGGGCCCACCCAGCCTGGAAGTCTTCTTCATCGTCATCCAAGAGACCAGAAGGAAGTTGAGGCCTTCAAATCGCAGAGCTACTAGGAGCAAGGACGCTAGTAGTTTACTAGTAGCTCCTGGCCTTACTACTAGGAACAAGAATCTACTAGGAGCAAAGGGCATCGCTACTAGTAGCAAAACCGGAGCAACAGGTCCAACCCCCTCAAGACTCTTTTTCTTGAATTCCCCAATGGTGATTTATGTTGACCTGATATTCGAGCAAAACATATCGAAATCTGTCCTTGAACGTTCGAAGTCCTCTCGCTCTAAAAAACCTGTCCTTCTAGGCTGTAGCCATACCATGCCATACCCACTCTAATGAGAAGTGAGAACGTCCCAATCGGCCGGCAGAAACCCTCACCAGAAATCACCGGAATATGTATCAATTATGGGGGTTTTGTTGGTGCAGGTGGCCCACTGGGGCCAAACAAAGGCCATTCCGGGACAATTCCGCGACCATTCGGAGGCCTCACGTCTTCTTCATCGGGGCACTCCGAGAAGACCAGCGAAGAGGCGGGCCTGGTCCATTAGGCAAACGTGCGCTTTCTTTTTTTTGCGGAAGTTAAAGTGAGGTTTGAGAGATTTTGAGAGACTTGATGGTCCAGATCCAAATTGATCCAAAGATGAAAGTTTAAAGAGGACTCTGGAAAGACAAGCAGCCTCATGTTCCCATGGAAGAGGAAGGATTTGAGGATTCATGTACCAAAAGTCTCTGACCCATGGATCAAGAAGCTGCGTAACCCCAGCAGACTGGCTCCCAGTCACGTGTGCTTTTGTCCGCGTAGCTAGAGATTCATAGTCAGGGCCACCCGAGCCGAATTGGCACATAAACTCTTTGCGAAGCCATCAGAATCGTCAGCAACTCCCAAAAATGAATGGAGTTGAGCTTCCTCAGTCGGCAGAGTCTTTGTGCTGGCATCTTTTTGGCCTCTGACCTAAACGAATTGTTGCATCTATTGGAGCTCTTCCAAGCAAGCAGAACTTGCTATGTCCATCGCTATGTCCATCTATTTCCCAGTTTCTGGATTGGGTGCCGGCTGGCGCAACTGCCGAGCCAACTGACGCAAATAGAAGACGTCCTTCTGCATGGCCTCATTGATTCTTCGATGCTCCCATGCTGCGGTCGACGGCAACCAAGGGTAGAACCACGTGGCCTGCAGAATGTTCAGAACCTTTTGCCGAACCACGCCCCAGCGGTATCGCAAATCCTCTGCCTCGTCGTGGATGAACTTCTCGTGGAACACCTCTTCAAACGTGGAGTCCACAGTCATATAGAGTTCCTTCTGTGACTGAGCATAGTAGTCCCAAAAGAATCTAATCACCCCACTGCAGAAGAGAAGGTACAAGGTGATCACTATGAAATACACCTTGAAGCCGAATGGGTCGCTCTCCTCTACCTCTTCATTGAGAACGGGAAATGGCTCAGCTCTGTGTCGCAAGAACCGCCAGCGGGATTTGTTCTGCTCTGCCCGGGCGTGAGCTGCCTCTGCAGCTGCCTCGGCAGCTTTCTGGGAGATATTATCAGCCGCTACCTGCATGATTCTAGACAGCATGTAGGCCACAGCACCGAGGCTGAGCATCACCAGGGATAGAACTTTCCAGTAGCTGCGTCGCGCTTTCCATCGGATTGAATCCACAATCCGAGCCGTCATCTGCATCTGTCGGAGTGTTTCTTCCAAGGAGGTGATGATGTTGTCATTATGTCGCTCTCGTACTCGGAGCACTTCCTGAATGACCTCGGCTCTCTTCTTCACAAACTTCTCCAGTGGTAGACTTTCGTGCCCTGCTGGAGCTTCCATGCCTTCATTGAACATGGTGTAGATCGGTGGAATGTCCTTGCGCTTGATGACCTTGGATAAGGCCCATCCCAAGGCTCCATAGGCCCGAGCGAAGTCGACACTGTTGTCCAACTTGTCCACCTTGTTGAGGATCACAAGGAACTTGTGATTCAGACCAGATAATGCTTTTGTGAGCACGTCCAACGTCTCTCCGGTGGTCCCCGGTTTGTCCGGATCGAAGAGCAGCAGAATCAAGTCTGCTCGCTTCGCCCACCATCGAACCACCTCCACGAAGTTGTAACCCCGTCCCCTCGCCTCGCTCAAGCTGTTCTCATTCACTGGCAAGTCGATCATGCCTGGCGTGTCGACGATCTGCAGCTTGAATGGCATCTGAGAGGATGGAGGAAGAATGAGACGCTTCCTCCTCAAGACGCCCGAAAAGATCTGTCCAAAGCGTTGCAAGTCCGAGAAGGGTCGATTCTCAGGACAGCCAAGGACCGTGGGACCATCCTCTGTTTCAGTGGTGGTCCTTCGCTCCAGAATGGTGAAACCATCATCCGTCGGAGCGACACCCGTGTCTTGCACCTCTTGACCCAACAACTTGTTGATGAAGGTTGACTTGCCAGAGGAGTGGTTGCCAATGACCAAGACCATGGGAGTAAAAGGGAAAGAGTGCATATCATACTCAAAGGGCCGGCCAGGCATCCGAGCATTAATGGGGATCAAGAGTTCATCCTGCAGAAAGCAAACGATGCGTCGGAATTCGGCCTCGGCATCAGCCACTTGGCCACCTTTGGAGGGCGACAAGTCCGGCAGTTTGTAGGGCCGCCGCAAGCTGTTCCTGCGTGCATAGTACCACATGATGAGAAGAATGCACAAAACTCCAGCAGCACAAATCCAAGCATACTCATAAGCAGGAGCTGGGGGAGGTGCTGGAGGTGCTGGAGGAGCATGGTGCTCTTTGTGAAAGCCAAAGGCTCTACCTGCTTCACCTGCTTGGCTCGCTATCATCACCGCCAGGGCAGCTCCCCAAACCGCCCTTCTTCTCGAGCCCGGCCGGCTTGGGCCAGCCATCTGCGGGCCAGCCATCTGCTCGGGCATGTGAGGCATATGGCACTTCCCCATCAACGATGGAGAGGCGTTACTGTCCAAATGGCATGGACTTGTTGCTGTCATCCTCGCACTTTGGGTGTCATGAAATGATAGTCTGAAAACAAACTAAAAATAAACTCGTTGCTCTTGTGCTCCTTGGTTCCGAATCTTGAGCCACAAACGCTTCAAGAAGTCGTGGTCGCAGTGGTCGCCATGTTCAGAATTCAGTCTTCCACACGGCAGCAGTTTCACCTGTTGCCTAATGGCACGATCGAAATGTAGCACCACTACGTCAAGCACTGAAAAATACAGTAAATCATAAAATATCGGAGACCCCAAGGGAGAAACAAAGCTCCAGGGCCCTCTTCACGTACCAGTAGGTTGTAAGAGGTGAAGACCAAGTTTGATCCAAACTCTGTGCAAATCGCTCAGCGACAGTCGTATCAAGCCTATCCCGTCCATGCCCGCTGCAGGCTTGTGGTTTCTAGTTAGAGCCAATGCAAAACCGCTTAATGGGATTCTTCCAATTGACCTGATTTGAAATGCGTTTTTCAACACATCTCTCCATCACCCACCGCTCCTGAGCTGCACCACTGACGGCTCCAAAGGGCTCTTCACCTGGTCTGCGATCTTTATTGACTTCAGACCTGTCTCCCCTCACTCAAACCTTTAGCCTAAGAATTTTGAGGAGGGTTTGAGAGGAAAAAAAACATGCACGAAATATATCACGAAGTCATGTCTTTGGCAATGACAAATAAAACGTCTAGAATCTACGGGTGGGTGGTGTATTGTACTCAACCTATGATTTATGTTCAGCAGTCTGCACCTGTCCAAACAGTACAACCCCAAAGACATCCAATACCAGCCGTTATGTTCAAACGTTCTTCTGGGGTCGATGTACCTACACAGACCTGAAGCATGTTCAGATCTGCTCCATTGAACCGCGACTATGTCTTCTCGATGCTTCTTGCTACTAGTGGCTTCTGGCTCCTAGTAGCGATGCCCTTTGTTGCTAGATGTTGCTAGTAGCTTCTTGTTCCTAGTAGTAATGCCAGGACTAGTAGCTTCGTACCCAACCGCATCGCAACTTTGATGTGACCCACGCCTCTACAGGAGCGCTCGATGTTGGCACTTCGTTTTGCACCTGAAAGGTACGAAGCTTTGCAAGAGATTTACACTACCAGGACCACCAGCAGACTAGATACTTGTGAATTGCATAACCCCAAGGATTGATTGGGCTCTGCGGAACGATGGAACCTGAGCTGTGCCATCTGGGTTTGATCCAATCACAGGGGCTCTCAGGATCAAAACCCTGGGACTTACCATCGTCCTGGAGCGATTGGTACAAGTACTGACCCGATACGCTATTCTCAAGCTATTTGCCATGAAGGGACAAAATGATGTAGTCCCCGTCAAAAACGCCCCTGAAGAATCGTTCATCTTCCATCCGCCACCAATAACTATGGCTCCGTGCCTGCCACTGGTAGGGCTGGTAGCCGTGTGGCTCCTGAGTCAGTGTGCAGGTGCTCAGTCAATCTGCTTTGCGTGAAAATTCATTATGACCCATCTTCGTGGCAACTCTGTTTGAGATATCACACCATCAAGATCTAGAAGCTCTCCAAGTCAGCGTGAGAAAGAGATATTGAAAATATGGTATCTGTGTGACCCAGGGCCTGGTATTTCCACGGCAAGCCGTTCATCTCGTATCCACCTCAAAGCAACACTCCTTTCTCGTCCACTTACGAATGGAAATTCCACTCATTACAGTGCACACAACTTGCAAAATGATGATGGAACTTGCCTGCTACACTGAACTTATGATCGTTGACAGAAACAGCCATCGAGACAGGGGGTGAGAGAGGGGCTGATCTGTGCCTCTGTGAACCCCTCTGATGTAGGGAGAGTCTGTGCTTCTGATGTTTGGATCCGGTTGGCCAACTCCAACGCAGCTCCAGCCGAACGGTGCAACGTCGCAAGGACGCGTCGTTCGTCGCTCAGGAAACGTCCCGGAAGGTCCCTCCGCGGACGTCGTTAAGGCCAACACGGTGCTCGCCCACCGTGCCTGAGGATCCCACCATGGACCCAAGTCCCGCTCCTGAGAAAGGCACCGACGAGAAAACCCGAACTCCCATCTTCCAACTCTCCAAACTTCTGTGACGCCAAGAAAGTCCTACAAAAGATACAAAAGTCCCTTTCTGGCTTGAACGTCCCTTGCTTCTCCCAAAGAAAAAGACACGTTCCAGGCACGTCCAACTTTCTTCTTGCATAGGCACATCATACATGTTTTCGGAACTTTATGGATCTGAACATCTCGAGTCAAAACGCGCAAAACCGCATGCAGGCCGGTCATGGAAGAGCGTTCCAAGCCCCGGTGGTCCGAGGCCGCTTGCGCCGCCGGGCGCCTCGCGTCGCGCCTCGCGTGGCGCCTCGCGTCGCGCCTCGCGCCGCAGGGCGCCCAGCCATAGACCGAATCCCACATCCTGCTGATTCACATGACACACTGCCAGTTTCTACCCGGATACATCTCATGGTTTTCATAGGTTTTCATAGAGGCACTTTCCAATGGCACATGCATCTACAAACATTGCATGCGAGGTCTATAGGGCACTTTGAATTGAGGTCACGGCCAATTCGTGTCACCCTGCCAGTCCATCTTGGCCCTGGCAAACACAGGAACTGCATACATTTTTCACTGCATTCCTTTCTGACCTGTATTGAAAGACAGTATCAGGCTACATGGGAACACAATAATGCCACCAAAAAAGTAGCCTGCTGGCTTGAACCAAGCCAAAGTATGTTGATGACACAGTTCATTCGAATGTGTGTGCCGGCTTTCAGAGATCAACCCCTCCTGCAGTTGTTTTTCTTCGTTCCAACTGCGTCGTGTAGGCCATGTGGGTGATTTACATGCGTTTCGTGAAGAATCATCACAATGCATGTGTCTTTCACCATTGTATCATCAAGCAAGAGGCATGTTTGATCATGTTTGCTTTTGGGGAGTTGTTTTCAAACGTTTTCAGTACAAGGGAATGGGATAGGAAAGAGGTGTTCCGGTGTTTTCTTCGTGAATGTGTCTGGACAAGAAAAGAACCCAAAAACAACAGAACGGTAGGATGGGGTGTAGGTAGCATTGCAACAGTCTCCAAAAAGTGTCACAAAACCAACCGAAAAAAGGCAAGAAAAGCAGCACGAACCAAGAGCAAACAAAGAAGGGAAAAAAAAAAACAACATGGGCAAAGAAAGAAGCATCAGCCAGGCAAAGCAACCATATGCAACCTGCAAAACGTTTTAAATTGCCGGGCCAAAACCACCTAAAGCCAGGAGCCGCCAAAGCCAAGGTCTGAAAACACATTAAAAATTTGAAAGAATCAATACCGGCCCTTCATCCCACACTCTCTCCCATGGCCTGAATCTTAAAATGTCAACACTTCGTCGTAAAAGAATATAACTGCAAGGGATCACAGCAAGCAATCTGCAGATTGCTCTTGTTTTTGCAAATCTGTGTGGCTGTTGCTGCTCGCTCAATATTCACGCACCATCTAAGGTGGTGTAGCTCCAAGCAAAGTTGGATTGAATATGATTTAATTGAACCTCCAATGGCGAGTGAGAGCAATGTTGGTGGGCATTCTTCCAGTCCGCCTCTGAGCCAAGAGCAATCAAAACCGAACCGAAATGGTTTGAGCAACTTGCTTGCACGCTTGTGTCTTTTCTAAGCGATGATGTCAAACAACCTGAGAAGGGGGGGACGAAAGCCAGCAGCCACCAGACGAGTGTCTCTTTTTCTGGCGGGCGTCGCGGCGCAAGACACATGGTCGGCAGCTTGCGAGCAGCCGCGGATGCGGGGGGACGTATGTAATGGTGATCAAGGGAGCAGAGAAGCAAGCTGGGCGGCTTTGGGATAAGTTTGGTATGAAAGAAGTAGTGAAAGAGCAATGCCATATGTTGTATGTTGGTGTAGGTCATCATCAGAAGGCAATGGCATGTGTTTGTCACACGCAGCAAGGTATGCATCTTATGGAAGTTGGAAGGCGACATCAGCGTTAGCGAAGGGGAAATACCGTCTGAGTTCGAATGGTGGGATACCATGTGCGCAGGAAGACCTTCTTCATAGTCAGCGTCCGCATGCGCCGCGCGCAAGTACGGCATGCGTTTGAAAAGAAGCAGTTACGTGTTTGTTACGTTTGGAGTGATTGAAGTTTGCAACGCATACTGCGGCGCGTCGAAAAGCCGAATTCGTTGATTTGGAAGAGTGAACGGGCATGTCTTAGCCGGGACACGAACGTTTGATCCCGCGGCGCAGAAGGGGAGATCCAGCGGGAGTAGCTTGGGCTAGCAAAGGAGTGAGGATTTGTGCGCCTATCGACGCACATGCCTGGACTTGAGTGAGTCATGTTCTGGCTCGATACAAAACACAATCTTTTTCCTTTAAAGGGGCCTTTATTAAACGATCCAAACACCTTCTTTATTCTTCTCTTTCTTTTCAACTCTGCGCCTTTCTCACTCAGAGGCCTTGACTTTGGCACCTGCGTGTGTAGATCTTTGGGCCGTGGACCGGGGCTGACTGGATTCGGCCAGGGCTGCCAGCAAAAAGGCGACGTCATGAGTCAGTAGTAACCTATCTATCTATCTATCTATCCATCTATCTTGTCCAGCCCCTGGAATGCTTAAGGATTAAGGTTTTGTGGTGTCCCACGAGAAGGCCAGGGTGGTGCCCACACAGGTGTCTTGGTTTCAGGGCAAGTTTTGTGGTGTCCCAGGGGGGGCCCAGGGTGGCGCCCACACGGTGTCTTGGTTTCAGGGCAAGTTTTGCGGTGTCCCGCTTTTGGCTTCAGGATAAGTTTTGTGGTGGGGAGGGAGGGTGGGACAAAATAGATCTGCCAACCACCACTACAACCTCAACCCAGCAAAGCTGCGGCATTGAAATAGGCATGCGTGGAGGTGAGGGTTGCAGGTTCACCTAATGGCTAAAAGGTGACCTGGTCCTGATCGAGTCAGCGAAACACGCGCGCTCATACCCACACGGGGGTGGGCAGGCAGGGGTCAAGCATGCCAAAGTCCACCAGCTGAAAACTTTCCTCAAGCAAGGTGAGGTGGGGTGGAACACTGATGACCGCGGTGGCTTTTTGGATTTGCTGCAGAAGGAGTCCAGGGTGGGGTTCTAGGTGGGCACCACTCCAGGACACCCCCCCGGACACCCCTCCAGGACACCCCCTGAACCTGGTTTTTATCCGTTTTGCCAAAAGTAACCTTAAGCATTCCAGGGGCTGAACAATATCTATCTATCTATCTATCTGCGCCGGCAAGCCGGAAAAGCATTCGGCGCGTGTGGACGCCGCGAGAAGCATCCACTCGACCGAGGACATGGCGCAAGTATAGTTTTTGCTAGGGGCAGGAACCCCATGCGGATATGCAGTCAGCCTCGCAGGAATCGCCAGCGAAACTCAATCCAAATTCATGGGCTTGAACTCATGTCATTTCAGTTCTCTATGGATTTCGCAAGTTACGGGTTGTCCTGGGAACTCGTATCCTACACGCGGCTGCGGTCTGCTCTGTACACGGGCCCCGATTGCCTTCATGATGCATCCTACTCGGCGTCCATTACATCACTCGCATCACCAGACCCCATTTTCACAGCTGTTCTGACCCTCGCTTTCGAGCGCTCTCCCCCATCAAGCTTGGGCTCACCCCATCAAAGGAACCCCTATTTTTCTGGGATTTTTCAATTTTTCTTGGATTTTTTCACATTTTTTCCCTTACTGCTTTTGCTTTTGCTTTTTGCTTCTGCTTCTGCTTTTGCTTTTGCCCTTTGCTTCTGCTTCTGCTTTTGCTTTTGCTTCTGCATTTGCTTTTGCTTTTCCTTCTACATTTGCTTTTTGCTGCTGCTTCTGCTTTTGCTTTTTGCTTCTACCTTTGCTTCTGCTTTTGCTTTTGCCCTTTGCTGTTGCTTTTTGCTTTTTGCTTTTGCTTCTGCATCTGCTTTTGCATCTGCTTTTGCGTCTGCATTTGCCTTTTGCTTCTGCTTCGGCTTTTGCGTTCTGCTTTTGCAATTAGAGCCTGTGCTGCTGCAAGCGGCCAGCTTCCACAGCTGTGCTGCTTGCAGTGGCCAGGGTCTAACGAGCGTGAGTTGCTGCAAGGGGACAGCTTTCAACACTGCGCTGGTCGCAGTAAAGACCCTGTGCTGCTGCAAGTGGCCAGCTTCCACAGCTGCGCTGCTTGCAGTGGCCAGGGTCTAGCGAGGGTGTGTTGCTGCAAGCGGCGAGCTTCACACTCCTACGCTGGTTGCAGTCAAGGCCCTGTGCTGCTGCAAGTGGCCAGCTTCCGCTTGCAGCGGCCAGGGTCTAACGAGCGTGAGTTGCTGCAAGTGGCCAGCTTCCACAGCTGCGCTGCTTGCAGTGGCCAGGGTCTAACGAG